TTTGGGCGAAATTATTATTACCTGTACACTTTTTGACAATATGCAATTCGGTCAATAAATTCTGTAGGGATTCATCGAATTAGTTTATGGAGAAAAACAATTAACAACAACACTTGATGCATTCTACTACTTTTTTTTTTACTGATTATTATCTTGTTTGTCTTTGTCGATTTTGGTACATTTTTATCTACTACTACTACTACTACTACTACTACTACTACTACTACCACTAGTACCACTAGTCCAACTAACTAACTATCTATGCTACACATGTCTGTCTATGAATATAAGTGTAAATGTATCCCTCCCTATCTCGGCATAATAGTCTGTCACTAAGGCAATAAAAATTATCACCTGTTAACCAACTAGAAGAGGTGGAGGAGGAGGAGGAGGATGAGGTGTAATAAAAAAGAAAATAGCGTTCATAGTTAGGATGATGGGTAAAAAGAGAAAAGCAAATTGGATTCTTCGAGGTTTATACTTTTTTTCAAAAAAAAAAAATTCCATTTCATTATTCACTTCAGGTAGTGAGTATTAATTCTCGAAACAAACTGTCAAACTTTGGTTCATTGCCTAAGTGAGTTCTAATAAACGTTACCAAATAAAATTAACATTATGATTCGAAGGAGATAATTATATCAAAAAATAAAAACGGGCATAGTAAGTATTCAATCACTTGTGTACACCTCAAAAACTATTCACGAATTCAATTATTTACAAGTTGCAAAATCTAAGCGCTACCAATTTTTTCTACACAGTTTACAACAATCACTTGTGTGGCTAATTGTGCTGTATTTACTAGATGCAATGAAGTCATGTAGAAAGAGAAAAAAAACTTCACAACAATCCATTAAATACTTGTATAGATTTTGTGCCTATCTAAAGTTATCAAACAATTCCTTGAGTTGACTTTGAAAATAATCCAGTTCATAATTCAATAAGAAAAAGGTTATAGTGTTAGGACAGAAATTTCATATACTAGGTAGGCAATTTTTATTAATAAAAAATTGTAATTCAATCTGCAATTATCTAACATGCCGTTGAATAGCTAAACGAATAGAGTAGTTCAGTTTTCGAAGTTGATAAACTCATGATCAACACTCAACTTAGACCCCAAATAGTATAACACTTGAAGAGATTGAATCCTAATTGGAAGTATATTATTATCAAACGGTATATTTGTTTAAAATACCTATTGTCAATTCTATACTAGTTACAGCAATAATCAAAAATTGATTTATGGTTTAATTAGGGAAAACAAAATGACATTTAAATACTTTTGATACTTATCAATTATCCATGTTTTTTGTACAAGTTATATCAAGTTGAGGAGGTAGATAAAATAACTATATTTTGCGAGAAAAGTTTAGAATAGCAAAGTTGATGATCAAAATCTGCTCGATCGTTTACTAAATTACTGATCTGTAAAATGTATGTGTGCGTTTGATTGTTCAACAAAAAATGTATTTTTATTATTAATATTATTATTGAATGATTTAACGTATTTTTAGGCTTTAATTTATTCACTACCTTCATAAATTTACAAAGCTTTTAATATTGTCCAAATATATATATATATATATTCCTCATCCTCGCCCCACAGATTAATCTAAGTAAACATGCATTAATATGCATCCCCCTTGTTTCTTTTTAACCCATCAAAGAACAAGTGGTTAACAAGACTAATCAAAATGTATAACACTAACACTAGTTCTATGCGTATAAGACTATATATATATATATATATATATATATATATATATATATATATATACATGTATACATCATCCATGTATTTGAATATCATTAGAGTAGAAAAGCAAACAAATAACTAAACATGAAGGTATTAATAATAATTCTTGACACGAGAAAAGTCTGTGCGTAAATTGTCTAATTCGAACAGCTGTTGAATAAATATCAAATTTATTCAACAAAATATATAAAAGACAGAGAGAGAGAGAGAGAGAAAAAGGAATGATTTTACTTCGATATGAAATAGTAATTAATAACATTAGATATATATATATATATATATATATATTTTTCTTTTCTAATATGATTATCATTATTATGAACAGAGTTGTTAGCCAGTGGAGTATGTATGATCACTATGTCTATAAGTTTTTTGGATTATCTTGTATTTAGTGGACCAAGTGAATCTATTCTTACCGATATACACATATATATAAAGATGTATCTATAAACACCAGACACTTAAATAAACAGTGACTACATTTCTAGTTTTTTTTCCTAGTATTATTATTATTATTATTATACATATGTGTATACTTTACTGAATGGTCTCTGCTCGTACATAATTTCATGCCATATGCTGAGTATATCAAAGACCTTAGAGAAACTATTAAAAAGCGAAAGAAATAAGGCATGAAAGAAAGACTGTGAAAAATGGAAGCGAAACTGACAATCCTCTTCTGTGAATATCTTGTTTTAGTTTAACTGCCTTCTGTTTCGGTTCGGCCTAATTTCTCCTCTATTATTCAGTAGTTGCTTTATAAGATGTTAATTAAACAGCTACACTGTCTAGAACTGAACACAAGAGACAAGAATCTGTATTTATTTGTTGAATAGTTATTGCATGTTACTTTTCCTGAAGCTAATTGAAAATGGTGACAATGAGTCGAAATAACTGGTGTTCATTCAAAAAAAAAAGGTAAATGACAGACAAGGCGAACGGATCATCTGTACTTGCTTTTTAACTCAATACACATTGTACGGTAATATAAACAACATTTGAATATGATAATAATAATAATAATTCAAACTAAAACACATAAGCAAGTGTATTTTGATTCAAATAAGAAAGTAAAAATGCTGAGATTACAAATTATCCTCTACCTGATGCCAATAAAACAAGAAATATACAACTTTTCAATTAGAGTTATGGAGATTAGTGCTTTTACACATTTGAAATCATCAATCAGTGATTGTTAAACCGCCATTAGAAACCTGGACCTGCACCTGGACCAGTACAGTTCAACCCTGTTGGGTGTAGGCAGTAACTACCAAAGACAAATGGGTGAGGTCGAGTAAAATCCCTAGATCAATCAGAGTTAGACATCAACACCGTTGGATGCGGGCCCAATGGTCCACAGGTTAGGCGTTTGTGCACAAAACCGAAGGTCCCGGGTTCGAATCCCGCGGGGTACAGGAGTCGTGGATGCCCACTGCTGGTGAGTCCCATACCAGGACGAAACGGCCGTCTTTCAGTGCTTCTAGGTTTCTAATAGTGGTCTAACAATGATTGATTTATGATTTCAAATGTGTAAAAATATACAACTGTATGTCTTGTTGTGTAACCTTTATTAACAATAACACATAGCTTACATTTATATTCATAAACATACACTGTTAGTGAAAGATTAAATTACGAATACTAATTTTCATGTAGTACTTTAGTTTTAAGAGATTCACAGTACCGAAAATCATAAAAAAAATAGGTGAACAATAGTTTATGAATGATCTGAAAGTATTCTTTCTCATTGACAGTCTTTCGTTGCTTTTCCGAAACAAATTAAATATGTTAAGTATGGTGAAGAAAACAATTTACTCGAAAAAAAATAAGTGGATGACTTTCAGGATGGCGAATAAGTCTATCACCAATAAAGGAATATGATTTTAAAAAATTCTATTCCGTCTATGAGAAATTATTAAGGGATATTCATTTTTGTAAGGATTAATATCATGTTACACTTTACTTTCAAGGTAAATGCCGTACACGTACTGATGTAAAGATGAAGTATTGACAACGTATGCTTATTCTTTGCAAATATAAATTAACAAGTGCGGATTCGAGCAGATCATTCAGCTTTGTTCCAGAAGTAATAAAATTTAAGAATAACTCAATACTTGGATAACCAAAGTGTCTATATTTATTGTCGATTGTAATATATTTGCAGCTATTTACCTTTGACTTAATGTAGAAAAAAAACAGTTTAATACAAGCCAAGAACTGCTTTACTAATTTTGACAATTAGTAAGACATTAGCCACAAGCCAGATTCTAGTGGAGGAGGAAATCAGGAAGAAGAGGTGGAAATGGATAGGACACATTGTGACAAGCACTCAACTGCGTCACAAAAGAAGCCCTCTCTTGGAACTCTCAAGGACAAAGGAGAAGAGGAAAGTCAATGAACACTTTACGCCCAGAAATGCAGGCAGACATGAGAAGAATGAAAAATAATTGGACAGAACTAGAAAGGAAGGCTCAGGACAGAGTAGGCTAGAGAATGCTGGTCGGTGGCTTGTGCTCCACCAGGGGTTACAGGTGTAAGTGAGTAAGTAAGTAAGCAAGACATCAGCCAGGTGTTTCACCAAAATGATTTTCACTAAATCTTGTGAAAATCTTGAAGACTGCTTTATCATGATGATAATAATAAAACGTTTAAAACTTAGTAATCTATACAGTAGTCTATCAGTTAACAAACAGTATAAGAAAGTCAACTTACCATACATGGTTTATATACTACAAACTACATTTAGTTAGTTTGAAATTTAGTGAGACTACTTAACCATGGAGCTAATATGATAAAATATTCAATAAAGTATCACCCACAGACTTTGAAATTAGGCACTTACTAAAATGAAATTAAAACTCGTTGAACAGTTCAGTTCCCGATATTTTGGCAGAACAGTTTACTTATTATTGAAAAGTTGTTTGCCAGTATTATGACACTTGATTCGATTGCTGACATCATAGTTCACATGAACTAACATCTATCCTCTAGCCAGTCACTTGCTAAATATTACTTAACAACTCGAAATGTGTGTGTGCGGTCAATACATTGCATACTACTTCTCATAATATTTTCAAGAATTCAATCATATTCTAATCAACTTAAAGGCCAAAACACAAAACATTAATTTTAGAATTGAATCAATCCGTTTGATTAAAATGTTATTTTGATGATTAACCATGGAGAAAAAACATCCACAAAGAATTACAAATGAAAACTTTAATAGACAATACAAACGCAAACTTACAATATTTACTTCTTGGCACACGTGGTCCATCGACTGTCACTTTGATTGCTCTAGCATAAAGTGCTACAATAGGTGGTGTGGTTTCTATAGTGATGGTTATATTGAAAGATTTACCTGTGAAAAAGAATAAAAGTTTTATAGAGATAGAATATATATATATATATATTTGCTTAGGCTGAGAAGAGTACTTAGCTTTGAAAATGTCTAAAATCTATCACTACAATCCGCATTTTTAATTACTCATTGTAAATTTATGTCGTAGTGTACTAGTTCATTCTACAGCACTTGGGATACTTCCTCAGATTATTCAGCAGGATTTATAGAAGGTACCAAGAGATTTCAGCATATCATTTTCGTCTAATCTGCTTTTTTCCTCAGTGAAAGTGTAAGTCTAGTACCTAATACATCACGTACTTGTACGTTGTATAACAGGCAAATAAGCTACGCCAGTCAGTAACTACTAAGCGATTATCAATCCCTATTCGTATTTAGATTTTACCACTATCGATTTAGTGACTTGAATCTTTCGCATCCCTATTCACTATGATTTTCTTTTTACAATTCAAGATACTTTGGATTTCCAATAGTAATGTTGAATAGTACAATGTAGTCTGTGAATATAAGAATCGATGTTTATATCGAATTGAAGATAGTAGTAACAGATTTGATTACATTTCAGGAAAATCGTAAAAGTTGGTTTACTGAAAATGAATTATTATTGTTGTTAACAAAAACAGGTAGCAAATATTAAATATAACTTTTTCCCATTATCCAAGTATAACCGACGTTTACTGTGCAAAAATAAATTATTTCCTCGAATTAACGCATGGCAAGCATTCAGTCATGATGGTATGTATGATTCAATGAATCAATAAATTGTTTTAATTTGATGTGAAATGCAAACGACAACAATCTACGAGAGAATTCGTAAGTTTGATGATACCAGTTTGTAATTTATTTTGAACAACTTAAAGTCAATGCTGTATTCCCTGCAGACTTGATCAAAAGTTCAAGAACAACCGTTTACTTGCGAAGTATATCATTCCTTTATGATGATGATGTTATACCAAACTGTAAATTTTTTTAACACAGTCATCAACTAAATATGATAGCCCTATAGCTTTTTGATAACAACTAGGTTCAATGTGTGCGTTACCTCTTAACCGGTATGACCTAGTTGAAATTAATTAACATTTCACTTGTTTTCACTATAAACTCACTCCTCTTTAGAAATTGATAATCACTGACAGAACAAAAAAAATTGACAATTTCCCTGGTTAGTAGTGATATGATATACGAAATAATTATAAAAAAGAAGAGACAATAACAACAACCATAAAGCAGTCTATCATTAGTTGACTTGTCAAAATACACTCAATACCATCCATCGTCTCTTCTGGTCACGTGTCCACATCCACTACAGTCTACTTTTTTTTATATATTAATAATGAGTTCAGGTCATCTGTGAGAATTTTTAATATCATATGGAAGGAATGACTGTGTTATTTTTTCTCTCTCAATTTCGTATTTATCTTATTCTACGGTAGATAAAATGCCATTAAATTTACGACAGGATGAAAAAATAAAACCCATGAATTAACGTTCGGACTGAGTTTATTATTTTTTTTTTTCAAAAAAACATATAAACCAAAAAACAGAGCATTCAAACACACACAAACCAATAATATTTGTTTGGTTTAATTACTAGTTCACTGTCTACTTTTTTATATATACTAAGTTGGGTAAACTAACTCATTTAGCATGGTAAATAAGTTTAAGTAGTACTTAGAAATAATGTCAACTAATCCTATTGGATTTTATGAAAATAAGTAGACAAATGAGCAGTTAATTTATTTTCATTTTTATCTGGGGCAAAAACTTATTCATCATCATCATCATCATCATGTTCTGGAAGGGAACAAACTATAAACGAAACAACTAAAAGCAGTTAGACCAACAAAAAACCAAGAAAAAAATTGAACAGATTTTATTCACTTATCCAATGGCGACACGTGTCTATAGCACTGAGGTAGACGACTACTGGTTAAAACAAATGGAAACTTGTGCAGTAGTATATTTCACCTATAGACTACACATTCACTTGGACACAAATTCATCTTGTCCAACGAACAATTTGATTGACAGTATATTAATTTTTTTGAAAAAAATAATTAAATTTTCTTGGTTTCACCAGCTAGCTGTATTGTTTAACACATATAAGTCACAATATGATTGTTCTTTTATTTTTTTTTCTCATTAACTCGTTTATTATTATTATTACTGTCGTTTTTTTTTGGAGTATGAGAAAAAAAATTTGATTTTCACTACCATCGACTATTTGTTTTTCTATTTTCTATTTTCCTGGGGTGATGGCTTAGCTGGTCAGTGAACCATACCAACCCACTGCTACACATACACACACACACCCACACTGAGAACTAGCTGACGAAATCAATTAGGACAAAATGCAATTGAGATGACAGACATCTTCATTTTACATGTCACTTTTCTATCACTAATTTCTGACAGGTTCTCTGTGATAATCAATGAATAAAAATGATCTATTCAGTCAAATGATTATGTTGTTGTTGTCCATGTTCTTGTCTAATGGATAACTAACACTACTAACACGGGGTAAACATGTTCGTGATCGCGTCTAATTTACAACACTACAAGCAAAAAAGGGGTAAACTTTCCCTAATTAGTTAGTTGTTTTGTTTTTTTCACTTCAGGTTTTATGACTTTCATCAATTGCTAACACATTGAATGAAAGTAAAAACGAATAGAGAAATAAGATTATTGAGGCTGGACATAAACAAAAATTGTGATTATCTTTTCGTATCTTATTAACTCAGTCAAACTGTAAAATTAACAGTGGAAATAATAATCATAATGGAAAAAAATAGTTACAGATAATTTCTACAATTGAAAAATATCTGGAACTCCAAACAACTTTCAACCAAAACCAAAATCAAGATTTTCAATGCAAATTTCAAGACAGTTCTACTGTATGGAGCGGAAACATGGAAAACTACCAAAGCCATCATCCAGAAGATACAAGTGTTTATTAACAGTTGTCTACGCAAAATACTTTGGATTCGTTGGCCAGACACGATCAGCAACAGCGTACCGTGGGAGAGAACAAACCAGATCCCAGTGGAGGAGATAATCAGGAAGAAGCGGTGGAAGTGGACAGGACACACACTACGATAAGCACCTGACTGTGTCACAAGACAAGCCCTCTCTTGGAACCTTCAAGGCAAAAGGAAAAGAGGAAGGCCAAGGAACAGATTACGCCCAGAGATAGAGAAAGACATGAGAAGAATGAACAAAAACTGGAAAGAACTAGAAAGGGAAGCCTAGGACAGAGTTGGTTGGAGAAAACTGGTGGGCGGCCTATGCTCCATTGTGGGTGACAGGCGTAATTAAGTAAGTAAGTAAGTACTAGGAGACTTAGTGTTAGTTTATTTTATGAGTGTTTTTTGTACTTTGATTTTTGTATATCGCAGTAATTAGACAAAATGTACGTCGATTAGAAAGTAGTCTAGTTGATTATTTTCAGAAGTAATTTTCAATGAAGCTGCCCCTACTAACTCTTCTATTTTAATGATGAAATCTTTCCAATTTTATTTATCTCTGTGCTGAAGGTTTGAGCTTCATGAAAAATAAAGAGACTACAGGCAAGAGTAATATAATTGATAACATTCTTGCTCGCACAATACTTTGAACAGTGGGATCAAAAATGACAGATTGTTTGAGGAACGTTTATTTAAACATGCAGATGATAATTTTTTGCGATATGTCTTGTTGATACACACTCGATTCTCGTATCAAATAGGCGTTAAATCTAACAAACTAATTGTTCTAAAATGTTTTCGAAAAGAATATCCTTATGGATTAGGGTTTCTCTAAGACCATAAGAACAAAATCAGGCCAAAATATTATTCACTTCTATTCAGTTCAGTTCATCATGGAGTGGGGTCGTATCAACATTGTTTCTGTAAGCAGAAATAAGTGATTTCCCAACAATCGAATGTATGCTAGCTGTGGACGTCACTATTGATAGCTAAAGTGTTCAAACTGTTTGACTTTTCCCATTTGAACCAAGCACAGCAAGTCGTTTGTAAATCTCCTAAAAAGAACTCGGTTTATTCCATCAGTTATTACGCATGATTAGACTTTTAGCCATCCAACCACAGTATTAACAATATTTCATTGGAGTCTACTTCACTTAGTGGATTAGTTTCAACAACAGGTAACCTAAAAAAACGGGTCCTTTTTACAGTGACACATCTGATTGGCCAATTATTTTTGTCAGGATCAAATCATGAAATCTGTTATCATAGTCAAGTATTTCTTGTGATGACTCTGTTGATGCTACAAATGGATAGCTAAAAAACCAGTTAAATAGGAGGAATATAGAATAGTCTTAGTAATTAAGTTTCAAACCAAAACTGATATCTGACAAATGTCTTCAATTCATCCTGACAAGCAGAAATGTTCATTGAAGCCTCACTAGAGCATAACTTTCTCTCATGTACAATGAATACAATACAATATCCATCACTATCAAATAATTTCAGTTTATTCCTGTACTAAATAATCGATTGTGTTTTACATAATCAATGATTTTCCTACCACAAATCACTTTCTACAATTGCCTAAAAAGAACACTTGAGATAAATGTCGAACTGATGAGAGCCAATGAATACATTTCCCTTAATTGAAGAAATCTGATTACTAACGCTACAACTTACGATTGGTTCATTTTAGAATAGATTTCATGCAAAATAGAAAAATTCCTTTCCAAGTTGCCAATTTCTATTATGTAATAGGAAATTCGTCACTTCATTTTAATGGATGTAAAGAATTATCACTCAAGAAATTTCATATCATTTACTAATAGCCTGAAGATATGATGTTTATACGATGATGGACACTTAAAGATATAACGGAAAGTAAAAATAAAGTTATCATAATTATAATCGAGGCCTAACAGTAACGACTAAATATCAACTATTCTAAATTTCACAACAATTCATTTGTGTGACTGAATATTCTAGTTAAGTATAAGTTTATAATTTCTATAGTTGAAATTATGAACTGATGTTAGC